ACTTAATAGCCAATAACTTGTGCGCATATGTGATTTCTGAAGTGCGCCTAAGACGATGTAGCCAAGACTGGACTCCTTGAGGACGCTGGAGACCCAATAGAATCCAAGACGCTCCTGAAGGCAACTGCAGGGACCCCGATGTGGCACCGATAGAGAGCCACACCCCTGGGACCTTGACTTTCTCCATAGTAAGAGCACGCATGATGTCTTGCATGTGTTGCCATCCGAGATGAGCCCAACTGAACGCCTTGAAAACATGTCGAGCCCAATTGGCCTTGGAGGCTTTGAGGGACCTCATGCTATGCGTGTGAATGTGCCTTGACGTACTCCACCAAGACTCACAAATAAGGACGGCCCACACACGGAAACATACAGCCAGAGAGCTGCGATCCCAAACATACTTCATACGTCCGCAACGTCTCATTAGCAAAGTGCGCTGGTCCATGGCCTGCAGTGATATGTGTGATCGCCATGCCTGCCTTTGCGTGCGACCTCTGGAGGTGGTCTGCACTGGGGAAAAAACTGGAATCGACTGATGCAAGAAATCTGTGATAGCTGCGCAGTGGCCATTAGGATGTACCGCAGAGGTGCACATTCACGGACATGCGCAGCAAATGCTGCTGCAGCTTCGGGTGCACTGAAAGCCTCTGGGTTGCACTTGGTCTTGGAATGATACTGAGGGACACGAAACTTAGGAGCAGAGAGAGGAAACTGAAGCACCGCTCCGACAGCTTTGTGCTCAACAATGGTGATGGAAAGGTCTGTTTCGTGCTGAACCGATGCGCTGCGAACGTGCATGTTAGCCGAACAAGCAATGTAATCAGTACGTCGTCCTTTCTCTGCTCTCTGATCGTTGGGCGAGTGCCAAGCGACACCTGCGCCTGCAGATTTGAAGAAAGTGGAGGGGGGCCAGAGTTGCCGATCACGTAACACGTCATGGAAAACTTCCCCAGGATAGTCTTGCGGTTCTGCTTGAACCGCGCCAGTAGCTTCGGAAACCACGGGCCCGACTCTGGCGTTGGCGTCGGTGGGGAAAAAGCTGGGGAATCGGACGACCAAGTAAAGCTGAAAACTGACTGGATGCATCACCCCACCATGTCCAAATATGTTCTTTGCCTGAAGCGCTGTGTGGGGCGTGGCCTACCACTACATTGAGACTGAAGTTGCCCTTCCGGATGGTAACTATGAACAAGCGAGGATTAGAATGAAGAGCGCGGCAACCACGAAGAGAGAGGTTCTCTGCTTCGTGAAAAAAAAAAAAAAAAAAAAAAAAAAAAAAACACGCTTGTGGATCCATGAAGAACACCCATCTCTGAAATTTGTCTGCACCTGCATGCAAAACTATGTATTCTCCCACGTGCGAGTAACCGTCCCTGGGAAACCTAGTCTCGACGGTGCCAGCAAGAAATATGCTGCGCTGCGCGAACAGGTGGCCCAAATGGGCCATTCGACCAGGTAAGAAGAGCCCACTTGTTTTTTTTGATGTTTGTTACGGCCCGCCCTGGGATTCAAGGCCAAGACATCGGCAGCGAGAACGGCAAGGCTCTTCGTAAAGGACTGCGTTGATGCACCCCTGTTGAGGCCTTTGAGCTCTTGACATGGAGCAGCCCCAGAAAGCCCAAGAGTGGGGTCCATAGACGGAGGTAATTGAAATCCATGGCTGGGCGGGCACTGGCTGCGTTCCGATATGCGAGAAATAATGTGCAACCAAACCCATGCGAGTTCCGCCTGCGTCGGCAATGGCGATCGCCATTCCGTGAGCGGATGAGCGAAGGAGCGCAGAGGGAGCGAAGCGATCGTGGCAAGCGTATCGGACAGCTCATTCCACGGCTGAGCCGCGTGTCCTGGCACACGCTGAGATATAAAACCACGGCTAGATATGCGAATGATACGTGAAAGGGCGCCCAGAAGGGCACTCTCCTGAGCGTGATTCCCCGGGGCGCTACCACCTTTAATAATGGCCAAGGCCTCCACGCTGTCCCCGAATAGGGATATTTCCCGACTGCCCAAGACATCCACTCCTAATTAAAAATAATCCAAGCCATGGCCAATTGGGCCGCGTAGAGCTCCCCGAGAAACGAGAAGTGCTCTGGAGCGCGGCCCCTTGGGTCACACACGTTAGCCGCGAATCCCATAAGCGCCGTAGCTCCCAAGACATCCGTAACCAGAACCACACATTCCCACCTAGATAATCCTGTAACCGATGAATCGCTGGAGTCGTGTAGGTGGGATTGACAGCCGCCAGAGCCGTCGACTTGTAGGCTCCCCCATGAAGACAAGTCCTCGAGTGAAGATAAAGTAGGCATGGCCTGGACCGTGGAGGAATAAAGAAACGAACCTATGTTGAGTAGGTCCCTGGGTAACTGAAATTCCCATGGGGTAAACAGTCTGCTGAGAAACTCAGAGCAGTCAGTTAAGGGACTAAGCCTGCAATCTTTGATGGGTTCCACCGAATCTGAGATAGGTGCACCTGGCGCTGGAGCCAGCTGGGGCTGGGAAAGGTTGTTATCCCTGGCGTCCTGGAAGGTGTCGTCATCGCACCAGCTGGCTAATGGCCCCCCACGACAGTAGCCTCTTCTGGTGCTGCTGGCGTGTCGTCGGCGATGGCCTGGGACTTGTGAGGTGGCTCGTCTTTGTGAATGTTTGCTGCCATGCGGGCTGAACCTTTTTGCTGAGCCTGCTGGACAACGTTGGGTAACTTCTGCTGCCCAGGCAGATTTCCAACTGCATGCTGCCAAGCTGGAGACCTGTTTCTCCTAGACGAAGCTCCCGTGCTGGAGCGTAGTGCTGTTAGTTCCGTAGGGCTGAGATCGGGCAAGCTGCCTCCTGCTGAGCTGTTTGATCATGCGCGAGCAGCTGTGGCCTTTAACAGGTTGGCTTCCTGTGATGAGCGTGGCGATTGTGACGGTGCTGCCAGAGGTGTAGAACTGGCCGTAGTCAAAGTAGTCAATGACTGTTGAATAGACATTAACGCCTGACTGGGCATATCCATTTGTGATGTTAGTTGCGCCTGGCCCGACTGCAACTCCGCGATGATCCTGGGCACCGCAACGGGCTGGCCAGAGGCTGGCGAAGAGGGCGTGGCTGTAGGCGAACGAGAATTTGGGGCCGATGTGGCAACGCCTGAATCGACCTCCATGTTGTCGGCGGCAAAATGAGATCCCTTTGGGCGTGTTTGGTGTTGACAAAGCTCGAGCTGCTGCTGCTGCTGCTGCCTCTGCCGCCTGCTCCTCCTGCAATTGAAGGGCCTAGAAGTGGCTGGGGATATGGTGTGCATGCTCTGCATCGGCTTGAAGTGCCTCTCTGGCAGCTGTAGCTTTGGACATGGCTAACTTTGTTTCCTCCTCCGCCATACGTGCGTCTGCCAATCTCTGCTGAGCTCCCCCCAAATACTTCTCCTGGTTGCCAACTCGATCTCGCGCTGAGAAAGCGTGGATGTGCATGTACATGTACACTGCATATTCGAGTTCCAGAGGCTGAAGCATCTCTGATGTGGCTGCCAAGGGTTTCTTGCTGATGAGCTAGCTGAGTCACCAAGGCCGAGAGGGTGGTTTTGATTTGCCCTCGGTGTTCGGCCAGCTCCTTGGTACCAGTCGGTGGGTCCACCCAACTGGGGTGGGCCTTGGCAACCTCTGGAGTAGCTGGCAGGATGGTGAAAAAAATTGGCTGGGAGGCTGCTGGTGGAGTAGAGGGCGCTCGTCCACTGCCAGCACTGGGGGGAGGTGCATCTGACTGCGACTGACCTGCTCGTGACGCTGACGATGACCTCTGTCTGCGCGGCAAAGAGCGTCCCCTGTGGCGACCCCGCGGCTGGGGGAAACAGCGCGCACACCAGCGCGAGGATGACCAGTTGGAAGCACCACATTGACCGCACGTCCAATTGTTTCCTCTGGGCGTCGACCGTGGTGGAACACTGGCTGGAGGGTCCGCTGGCATGGCGCTGTGATGAGCCGCAAGCAATGACCGAGCTGCGCTGACCCTGAGTAGTGTACGTGCTTGGCTGCGGGCCGCCCTGGCCCGCCGATGCCAAGCAGGCTCTGGTGAACGTAGTGACCGAATGCTGACCGCGAGGCGCCGCTTGGCGCCCTGCGGCTGGGGCTGCAAACACTCGCTGGAGCGTCGCTGCCCGCGACGAGGCACGGCTAGCCCTCTGCCTATGGCGGCGGTGGGCCTGCACGTTGCCGATGTCCCGAGGGGCACGCAGCTACTGGGTAACTGCACCCGGAGCCCCTGAGCCGGGACGGCGGCTGGGGGGGCGAGGAAGGAGGGGGCCGACCTCGACCTCGACCTCGACCTCAACCTCAACCTCGACCTCGACCTCCTCCTTCTCCTCCTCCTCCGGAGGCCTCTCGACCTCGACCTCGACCTCAATCCTAACCTCTCCTCTCCTCCTCCTCCTCCTCCTCCTCCTCCTCCTCCTCCTCCTCCTCCTCCTTCCTCCTCCTCCTCCTCTCCTCCTCCTCCTCCTCCTCCTCCTCCTCCTCCTCCTCCTCCTCCTCCTCCTCCTCCTCCTCCTCCTCCTCCCCTCCTCCTGCTCCCCTCCTCCTCCTCCTCTCCTCCTCTCCTCCCTCCCTCCTGCTCCTGCTCCTGCTCCTCCTCCTCCTCCTTCCTCTCTCCTCCTCCTCTCCTCCTCCTCCCTCCTGCTCCTCTCCTCCTCCTCCTCCTCCTCCTGCTCCTGCTCTCTGCTCCTCCTCCTCCTCCTCCCTCCTCCTCTCCTCCTCCTCCTCCTCCTCCTCCTCCTCTCCTCCTCCTCCTCCTCCTCCTCCTCCTCCTCCTCCTCCTCCCCTCCTCCTCCTCCTCCTCCTCCTCCTCCTCCTCCCTCCTCCTCCCCTCCTCCTCCCTCCCTCCTCCTCCTCCCCTCCTCCTCCTCGGCCTTGACCGCGACCTCCTCCTCCTCCTCCTCCTCCTCCTCCTCCTCGTCCTCCTCCTCCTTCTCCTCATCCTCCACTTCGGAGGGGCAGGATGGCGCGAGCGAGCTGATTGGGATGCCGCCCCAGAGCCTTCGCGATCGCGTGCTTCTCCGCCAGGCCCGCGCCCTTGACGCCGACTTGCGCGAGGGTGCCCGCGTTCGGCATCACGAGGGCCGTGCACTGGCGGGGTGCACCCGGGGGCGAGGGGGGGGGCGAGGGGGGGGGAGCGAGGGGGGAGCGAGGGGGCGAGGGGGAGGGGGCGGCGAGGGGGGGGCGAGGGCGAGGGGGGGGGGCGGGGGGGGCGAGGGGGAGGCGAGGGCGAGGCCGGAAGGGGGGCGGGGGCGAAGGGAAAGGGAGCCCGTAGGCTGCACGAGGGGGCGAGGGCGAGGGCGAGGGCGAGGGAAAAGGGCGCTTCCCTTAACAGTCAGGCTGCTGCAGGAAGGAACGCTAGCTAAGGAACGAAGCCCCTCTTCGGCCCCAAAAGACCTGGATGCACGAGGAGGGCCACGGTGAGGGCATTGGATGAAGAACCATTGGATAATGAATCCAGGGTCTGGAATCCGGTGGAACTCCAATTGTGGAGTGTCCATGGGTACCACCGCCGCCCTCATCGGGCAAGGAACCCTCCAGGGTCTGAAGCCTCCTGGGCACATTCCTTAACCAACGCCCCCCCCCCCGCCCCCCGTAGAGGAACAACCACGGGATGGCCAAAGGAACAGCAAGCCCCTTCCGAACCCGAAGCGGTCCTTATTTCAGCATCTATATTCTCCGCCTCGTGGAGAGTCAAGCCCCACGGCAGCAGCCAGGCGCACGACGATAGCTTCCCGACGGCGGCACTGCTGCGCCGATCGGCCTCCTGTGGGCTACGTTCAGGCTCCAGAGCCGATTCGACCGAACTGTAAAGGATACGAGCCTTTCACGGAGGGCGCCCCCCTCGGGGGGGAGGAGGGGGGGGGGGAGAAGGAGGGGGAGAATGGCGAGGGGGAAAACGACACAGACGCAAAAGCCTGCGACGACGAGGCACAAGTCGTGGAGGACCAGGCGAGCGGGCCCCAAGCAGTTTACCGCCACTGCTTCTGCTCGGCTGCGTCCGAACCATGCTCGACGTTCGAGCTCGCGCTGGCCGCCGAAAACGGAGGTACGTCTCGTAACCTGAATGACTTCAATGGCATACGTGTTGGGCTTGTCAAGGCGGTCGGACTGGTGGCCGTGCACACCGCTCTTCCGCCACAAAAGCCCGGTCGGTGTGGGCACGCGCTCTCTCCTTGCGCGCGTCGCTGTGCGATGTGAGCGGCGCGGGAGCCCTCGCGCGCCCTGGGGGCACGGCGCCCCAGTCCGGCGGCGCACGCCGGATTCCACAATGGCGGACTCCCTGGTCAGCTGCGGGCTCGCCCAGCAGCAGCGCCGCGAGCGACGCTTGGCGTTATCAGCGCTCGAGCTTGGCGCACGGCCGCCTCGCTCGTTCGCGGCAGAGCCGCGGACCGCACATGCGCGTCGTATACCCCTCTGGGCTCTCGTGCTGCGCCTGCCCCCCCACTCCCCCCCAAAAGCATTTGGGTGTGCACGTCGTCGTCGTCGTCGTCGTCGTCGTCGTCGGGCAGTGAGTGGTACGCACCGCTGGCTTAAGCATGGAGGGGCGCCAACGGCTGTCTTGTAGCACAGCAGAGTGGCCCTATTGACGCTTCAATGGATGGTAGGAGGAGGGACCAAGTCCTTACAACTTCCTCTCCCCCTCCTTCCCCAGAACATCCTCCTCCGCCTCCTCCTCATCGTCCTCGTATTCGTCCTCGTCCTCCTCCTTCTTCTTCTCCTCCTCCTCCTCCTCCTTCTCCTCCTCCTCCTCCTCCTCCTCCTCCTCCTCCTCCTCCTCCCTGTCCCGCTTTCTTATGATCCATCCTCCTTCACCTCGTCGTCCTCCCTGCATCGCCGTCCACCTCTTCTTCCACCTATTCCGATTGCCCCTTATCCCCTATCATAGTTAGCATCTCTTCGGCTTCCCTTGTCCTTGCCCTTCTCTTCCTCATCCCCTTACTCGCCCTTCTCCCCCTTGCTCCTCGTCCTCCTCCTCCTCCTCCTTCTCCTCCTCATCCTCCTCCGCTCTCTGATCATCCGCTTGCTTCTCATCCTCATCCTTACCCTCCCCCTTCCTCCTCCTCCTCCTCCTCCTCCTCCTCCTCCTCCTCCCCTTACCCTTTGCCCCTCCTCTCTCCTCCTACCCCTCCTCTCCCGACCCTCACCCTCACCTTCGCCCTTGTTGGCGGGAGCCTCCGGGTTCATGTCCATCAGATCCATGTCGGAAAGCGCGCCCGGCTCGTTCGTGCCCGGCACGACGCCGTATCTTGCGAACACCACGGCCGTGTTCCCCATGAGCCTCCTCTGCAGCTCCTCCGAAAAAGGACGACAACGACGACGACGACGACGACGACGACGACGACGACGACGGCGGCGGCGACGACGGCGACGAGCGGCGCCGCCAGGGTGCTGGCGCGGCAGCGGCGCGGGTCGGGGCGCGGCCCGCGGCGGCGGAGGCGGCGCCCCGCCAGCGTGGCGCGAGCGAGCGAGCGGCGCTTCTCCATCGGGCGCGTCGTCGTCGTCGTCGTCGTCGTCGCCGTCGCCGTCGTCGTCGCCGTCGTCGTCGTCCCCGTCTCCTCCGTCGTCGTCGTCGTCGTCGTCGTCGTCGTCGTCGTCGTCGTCGTCGTCGTCGTCGTCGTCGTCGTCGTCGTCGTCGTCGTCGTCCTCATCCACGTCCTCGTCCTCGTCCTCGTCGCCTTCGTCCTCGTCCTGCGGGTTTCGGCCGGAGCGCGAAACCGCTGCGTCAACTTTGGGTCAAGCGGGGGGGGCGCGGTCGGGACAGCTAATCGCTGGCTCCTCAAAATTCCCTTCTCGCTGGCTCCTACTCTCTCTTTCTATATATATATATATATATATACATATGTGTGTGTTGCAAAGGTAATCATACATACATCTGTATATATATATATATATAGATCGGATCGGATCGGACCCCTCGGAGGCAGCAGTTCGGATGTCTCTGACGCTGGGTGTCTCCAGGATCGGGTTACACCCGAAATTAAACCGCGTGGTCACATACTGACGGAAGACGAAACGCAGGTTTTAACGCCTGCTCGTGCCTACAAGTCTCATGATGGTAGCGTCGAATGCTCTCGAGTCACATCCTGTGCTTTGCCTGGCAGCAGGGGTGGGAAAAAACGGGCCTCGGGATGAGTGCGGCTGGCGCTGGAACAGCGACGGAAGGGCGGATGACCTGCGAGGCCGCTTGGGGGGAGGGGGGAGAAGAGGAGGCTCTTGAGGCTCGAGAGGCGAGGGGGGGAGAGGAGGCGCAGGGGGGCTGGGCAGGCCAGGCCAGGCTCGGGAGGCTCAAAGGAGCTCTGCTTATCAGCCTGGACCAATGCTCGGGCATGCGCCGACAGCGAAGCTGTCCACGTCTCAGCACGGGAACACATCGGGGTAGCACTCGTAGGTGAGTGACGTGGGCCTCCCATGCCCTGAACACCTGGCTTAGGCGTACTCGAAGATACATATCTATATATATTTATATATATACATATGTCCGCCCCCTCCAGTATCACACCTTTGGTTTTCGCTCCCATCTCCAATCCCCAAAGGAATCCTCCTCGTCCTCCTTTTGCTCCTCCTCCTCACTCGCCTGCTCTTCTTCGTCCTCCTCCTCTTCTCCTCCTCCTCCCTCGCCTGCTCTTCTTCATCCTCCTCCTCCTCTTGCCCCTCCTCCTCCTCTGCTCCCCTGCATCATCCTCTTCCTCTCCTCCTCCTCCTGCTCCTCCTCCTCCTCCCTCGCCTGCTCCTCTTCATCCTCCTCCCCCGCGGCCTCCGCTCTCACCCCATTATCATTCATAACCGCGCTTTCATGTTCTAGCCACGTCGCGATCAAGTCATGGGGCCTCCTAAGAAAGGGACCCCCGCCTACCAGCGCAAGCTCGAAGCGAACAAAGAACGATCCGCGAGGAAACGCTTGGCTGCTTTCCTTAAGCTTGCCACGCGCGCGCCGCATCATGGCGGCGGTAGCGCACGGCCGCTGAACGGCTGTGCGCAGCAGCGGCGGAGTTCCGCAACCAGGCCGGCGAGTTACTCGACCGTTCGAAACAAACTCGTCTCCCTATGTGCCGCGCCGCGCCGTGTCGTGTGCGCTGCCACTCGCCATACCTTGTCGGGCGCTGCGTCGTGCGCGGTGCTGTGTGCCGTGCCGCGCGCCGTGCTGAAAATCACGCAGTGCGGGAACTGGCGCGAGCCCACAGGAGGCGCCCCAACCGGCACGTGCGGGCCGCCAACAAAGAGAAACAGCCGAACAAGTACTTCACAGAGGACACCAAACTGGCTTGACAGGAGGCCAAGATGTGGAAAAAGGCACACCTGAAACTCGCGAGCGCGCTGCTGTGCGCCGTGCCGCGTGCCGCGCGAGTGCCGCGTCGGGTGCCGCGGGTCGCGCCGGGTGCTGCGCCGCGCAGTGTGCCACGCGCGTTGCGCGATTCTCGGGTCGCGCGCTCCGCAAGGAGAAGCGGAGACGCGAGGAGGGCTCGGAAAAAGCGAAGCTCCTCGACAAGCAAGGAACGCATCGACAAGAACTCGGAGCTCCTCAAGACAACGGGCACCTTGACCAAGGTGCGGAAGACGCTGCGCTGGACGGAGGCGCGGCTCAGCGATGTGAACAACAACTGGGGCTGAATCGGCGCGAGCACCGACCCTTTTGGGTGTTTTTCTTCTCGGGCATCCGACAAACGGACGCCCCCCCACGCAGCGACCTGCGACCTTTTCGGGCATCCCTCTTTCGGACGCCCCCGAGAAGAGGAGAACTACCTACGAGAAGACTTCCCTCCACCTTACTCTCTTTCATTATCCTGCTCCCCCCTCTTGCTGCCCCATCGCATCTCCTGCTGCCTCTGCCTGTTCTGCTACGCGCCGTAGCCTTTGGCTCAAGCGCCTGGCCTGCGACAGATGCTCTTCGCTGCGGCTTCTGCGTCGCCCGCCGGGCGAACCGCGAGAACGCTCGCAAGCAGGCGCCTTGCAGCGGCCCCTGGAAGCGCGAAGAAAACCACATGCAAGCAATGCCCCGCCGCGGTCTTCAACCCCTCCCCAGCGCCGAAGAGGGGGAAAGGTCGTGTCCAGGGGCGTCGAGGACCAGAGAACAAGGACTTCTCATGCGTCCGCACGGCCAAGGGCACGACGAAGACGCGGACGGAGCGCGAACGTTGGCGCGCCGCACCACAGACTCGTGCTACGCAGACACCGGCGCATAGCTGGTGGACTTGCTGACCGAGGACGGCATCCTGTTCGATTGGTCTGGGTTGACGTGCCCAGTCTGCGGCGAGGGCTCCCTCGGCGATCGTTGCATCAAGCAGCGGGCGGAGTGGGCGGCTACGAGTGGAGGTGCAATGACGGCATGAATTGTGGCAAACAGGTGCGCCCCACCCACTGCCGCCCAATCTTTGCTGGAGGCAATGGGGAAGGGGCCTCGACGATCAAGGGCAAGGCCAATGTACTCTTCGGCGTTGTCACAGGAATGGCGACCGCGCAGATCCACCAGCACTACGCCGCGAACCACAATGCGACCCGCAACCTCGATATGGTTCGCCAGGAGTACGTGGATAATTTCGAGAAGGACACCGTGCGCGGCGACAGCACGAAGTGGGTGGACGTGGAAGCTGACGAGTCAGTCCTTGCCACAGCGATCACGGAGAACAAGGAGACGAAGCAATGGGAGCAGTGGGCGGGGGTCGTGGAGAGGGGCGAGCCAAACGCGTTCGCGCTGTTCAAGACGGAGTCTGACCGCACCGCGAAGAACGCACCTGGCCCAGGCGCAATCAAGAAGAGCGACTGGAAGCCGTTTTCCTGCGCCGCCCCAAGGATCGCAAAGTGATGTTGCACTCCGACGGCGCCAGGAGCTACAAAATGAGGGCGACAGGCTTGCTCCGCGACGCAGCGATCCACTGCGAGAAGCGCGTTAAGCGGGGAGGCAAGCGGGAGCGGATGAAAGATGTCTTCTGATTTCCCAGGGGATGCGGTTCAGCCGCCCACAATGCTTGTGCTGGTTGCACGACAGCGAGCCCGTCCCAGTCTGCAGCTGCGTTGTTCGTTCTTGTCCTCGTAGAGGCGATTGGAAAACAAAAAGCACATCGCTCGTTTCCTGCCCCTGCCCAACCTAGTGGGCACATCCGCCTTCGAAGGCGGTGGCGGAGAAAAAAAGGAAAGACTCTCCTCTGCCTCCTCCTCCCCCTCCTCCTCTTGCGTTTCTGCGTTTTTCGCTCCGGGCTGCGTCTCGCGCGCGCCCAGAGCGCGGGGCGCGCCGCGGCGGTCCACGAGGGCCGCGCGGGCACTCGGGCGGCGGCGTCGGGAACCCGACCTCGAGGAAAGAGAGAGGACCAGGGACAAGTAAATACTTCGGAGGGGGAGGAGAGAGAGGCCGGGCATAAAAAAGGAAGCCCGAAGGGCCCTTGAGCGGGCGCCGCGCGCGCGCCCGCGCCCGCGGGCGTCAGGCGGCGTCCGCGGCGCGGCGCTCGGCCTGGCCTTCGGCCTCTTCGCAGGGAGGGGACAGACGAGCCGCTCGGCTGCGGCCGGGCCCCCGTCGGCGCGGAGCGCTGAGCCCGACCGCTGTGGAGGGCGGCTGCCCCCTGTTCGGCTGGGCCCGGGCGCGCGCGGCCCCTGCGCCTGACCACCTTTCCCCAAGTCCAGCGGGGCGTGGGGGAGTGGCTCTCCTGCCCACCTTTCCCCAGCTCCATTCGGGGCTCGAGGTATGTGGTCCCTGCCCTGGCCACCTTTCCCTAGAGCCCACTTCGGCCTGGCTGGCCTCTCTGCGACGCCTGGGCCCCCTTCGGCGCCTCGCGCTGAGCCCGGGGTCGGGGCGGACTGCCCCTTGGCCTTGGAACAGAGTGCGTGGTCCTTGGGCCTGACCACCTTTCGCCCCTCCTCTGCCATGTTGGCCACTAGGTGCGCGGCCCCTGCTCCTGACCGCCTTTCCCTGGAACTCCCTGCTTCATTAACTCCATCTTCGCGCGACAGGGTGCGTGACCCCTGCTCCTGGTCACCTTTCTCCAGGTCCCCGCGCGGCTCTGGCGCTGTGGACCCTGCCCCCGCCCTTCCTTTCAGCTGCGTTTGTCTGGGGTTCGAGGTGTGTGCCCCCGGCTCCTGACCACCTCTCCCTCGGGCCCCCATGTGTCTTGTCCTTTTTGCGTCTTATCGTCTTGCGTGGCCTCCAGCTCCCTGCGCTGCTATGCGAGGCCAGATTGCTGCAGTCGTGCGGCTGTGGTGGCCCCACCTTTCTCGCACTCTGTCGTCGGTGTTCGCGGCATTATGTTGGAGCGCGTGGGCGCGTGGGTGGGGCTCGCGCATGGTGGCCTCCATGCACCGACTTCAAGTGGAGGTCTTGGCTGTCCCACCCCTCCCCCCGATGGCTAGGGGTCACTGTGCCCTCGGTGGGGGCGAACCCCAGGCCTGGTGCTGTTGTAGTCGTGGTGTGGTTGACCATGCATGCCCTCTGCACTGCCGTGTCGGCGCACGAGCGAGCTCCTCCTCCGTCGCGGGGACGGCGGGGGTGGCGAGCTAGGCCGGACCGCGGGGGCGCGGGCAGTGGCCGTCCTACCCCCCCCCCCCGCCCCTGCCCCTCACCATCCCCCCTGGCGGGCGCGGGCAGCGCTCCCCCTGCCCCCCCGCCCTTCGAGCCCGTCTCGAATTTTGATCCTTGCCCCACCAGGGCAGCGTGGACTTGTGGCGTTGCGTTGGTGGGGCAGTCCTAAGGTTGCTGGTGCTGGTTGGTCGTTGGTGATTGGCGGTCGTTGAGGTCGTTTGCAGTCTGGGTTGCTGGTGGCCGCTAAACCGCGTGCGCGTGAAGGCGCTGCGTGCTTCTGCACTGCGACACGCGGCGACTTGTGCCTGGGGCGTTCCCTCGAAGACGGGGCTAGCCCGGGGCTCGCGCCCTAACGCCACCAGCAACACGCGGCAACGCTGCCTGAGGTGTTCCCACGCATTAAGGGCTTCCTTAGACTTGCGTCCTAAAGCGGTTGGGATGGTTGTCGGAGAGGTGTGCGCTTTGGTTCTCGGGGGCGTATGGCGCGGTGTCTGGCTGCGACCAATGGTGCTCGTAGTGCAGGTGGCGTCGTTGGATCGCAGCAGTGGTGCTGTCGGTCTGGTGGGCACTGGGTCGCGTTGTAGGGCTCGGTGGATGGTAGTTGCACGTGTTGATGGCAAGATGGTTGTTTGGGCCTGTTGTTGGTCTGGTAGCTGGAATTGTTGGGCGTAATGAATGTGGTGCAGTCTGGAGTGAGTTCGGCCGCTTGTGTGCGCCATTATGCGCGGCCTGTGTCTGCGCCTGTTAGCGCCCTCTGGATCCCCACTCCCTGTGGCAGTCGTGGCCAAGCTCTGCTGTCTCTGCGAAGTAGTCCAATGGTGCGTAGAAGTTGTGATGCTCCTCGTCGTCCACGGCCCACGGTGCTCCGCCATCTGCCAGCTGCCCCCATCTCGCCGCGAAAGCCGCCGCCATGGCTCTGCGCAGTTTCGACGGGTATTATTTGAGTGGTGCCGTCTTCCATCCACCCCTGTCATCGCGTCCGTAGGCTCGGCCATGTCCGTTGCGCGTGCATGTCTGCCATCCGGGTACTGCACGTAGCTCTTGTCGAAATTCGCGTAGACGCGCTGCAAGTGGGCATGTTGGTTTCTGCGCTGTCTGTCCGAATTGGCACTGGTCGGTGTAATGGAGTTCCACGCTTGGTTGTTCCAGAAGCCACTTGGTATCCGTTCTGTGCCAGCTGCTCGGTGCTTGCGGGCGCCAGGTGGCAGGTGCTGGATGTTCGAGTATGGCTCACACTTCGAACTTCAGACCCGCCGCGATGAGTAAGATGGCCGTTCTGCAGGGGTCGCTGCCCAGTGCAAGCTGTTGCAGTAATATCTGGCTGGCTGCCTGTGCGCCCCACGGGTGCCCGTGGGTTCTGAGGGGTCGCGGTACTCTTCCCTCGAGGGCGCGCCACCTTGAGGAACGCCACGTCTCGCAGGGTGGCCCAGCCAGGATGCCGAAGATCTTGTCAGCCCTTATAGCGTTGACCCAGAAAGCCAGCGCGTCCAGCTTGGTGAAGTCGCCTTTGACGGGGTCGACCTGCACGTCCATGGAGAGCGCCACCAGGCTGCAGCAGGCAAAGTGCATCTCAAAGTGGCGCTGGAAGCCCCCCACCCGCCTTCTTCCCGAGAAGAGGTGCAGCAGGAGCATGGTCGTCGTAACCAGCGGTCTGGATGTCGTGAAAGTTGTAGGTGCAGGTGCCTCGGGCTCGATACTCGCGCCTTCTGGTGGAAGTGGTGATCTCCGCGAGTGGTCTGGGTCGATAGGGACAGCGAGCTTCCGGCGCAGAACTTGTTGGACTGTTACGAGTGCTCTTGTCGCCCCATGCCATTGCGCCTTTCTCGCGGCCCCTTGGAGCCGTTCCTCTTCTCGTCGGTCAGCTACTTCCTCTGGGCCCATCGGTAGTTCTATCGCTTGTCTGCGGGGCATCACCTGAGGCTGCAGGATGCGCGACTTTGCGATGAAATCTTTGCCGCGCCCAGGGCAAGTGGCGGATCTGGCGAGGCGCTCAGCTAGGTCGTAGCCAACGCGCCCCGTGGTGATGCGCCGCTTCCGCGCGCCCTTGGCCATCAGAACCCTGCCGCACTCGTAGCAGACGTATCCCTGGCGCCCCTCTGCAGGTCTGCCTTCGAAGTTGAGCATGGGCAGGCCGTGCTGGCGGGCCTGCTGGAGCAGTTACCGTTGCCAGGCTCGGCGTCTGTATATAGCATGCTGCCACTGGTGGTATCTGAACCACGCTCGCACAATCAGCGCCTGTGCTGCATGTTCTGGCTGGCCTCGTGCCCACTCAGCGAATCCTCGAAGGTCAGCCCCGATCCCTTCGTCTTCCCGAAGAAAAACCTTGAGCCATTCTATGTCCTCCTCTATTTGAGTATTCCACGCCGTTGGGTCGCCCCACAGCTCGTCGACCAATCTGTGCAAGCACGGCGTGTCCGCATGTAGCATCCTCACGATGCGATGCAGTCTCCGCCTCCGAATGCACATGTGAATCGGCACTTCGTCGCACTTGAGGTAGATATCGTCGTCTGTGGTATGGTTAGCTGATTGCAAATTATGTTGCTGTCGTACCACTGATCTCAGACTGGCCATGCGTCGGCTCTGGAGCTGCTTTCGTTTTTGCGCTGTCAGCGCCCTCCCGGCGTCGCTATCGTACATGAGCTCGATGCAAGCCAATGCCGCCAGGCATTGGGGCTTGGCCTTGGCGCCCACCTGCTGCGGCCGATAGACTGACTTCTCCTGGGGCCCTTCGGCCGAGGGGTGGTCGATGAATCTCCGCATCAAGATCGGTCCTGCGCTGCCGTCGGCGGCAACCACGCTTCCCAGTGCGACCCCTTGCGTGGTGACTTCGGCCGCGTTCGCGCCCGCGCTGGTCGGGTCCTCTCCCAGGTCGCGCTGCAAAGTGGTCGGGTTGCTCTTGAATGTCCGGGCTTTGGAGCGTTGCTTGGCCTTCCCTTCGATATGTTGCAATGCCTTCGTTCCCTATGGATGTAGGTCGCGCCCGAAAATCATTGAGCGCTTCTTGATGATGGACAGCATGCTGAAGATGTCGTTCTCTACGCGCGCATTGTCGCGCAGCGCGCAGTGGAAGGTGGCGTCGTCCATAAAGGCTACTTCTGGCAGCGAACCTTCAGTCTCTTGGAGCGGCCCTCTGGTCAGGATGGCTTTCTGTCCAAATAGGTTGGAGGTCCAGGGCGCATCCTCCTTCTTGTAGCTCCATGTCCAGCGGGCCCAGCGCTTGGGCGAAGCTGATGTTGAAGATGAGGTCGGCCAGCCAATTCCCTGGTCTGATGCCCTCCAGGCTCTGCGCGCGTGGCTCGTCGCCCCTCACCTGGAAAAACGTCGCGTCGTGGGCCTCCTCCAGATGGCAGCGCAGGTTCTCGTCGACTTCGCGCGAGGCCATGTGCCCTGGCGAGTTGACCAGGAGCTGGATTGCCGGCACGAG